GATCTGATTTAGCTCTGCAAAAACAAGTACATGCACAATAAAGATTTAAGTTTACCTGGCCTATACTTTTCAGAAGTGGCAATTCAAAATTAGGTGCCTGGATTTAGATGTAGGCATGTGAATATGTGACCTGATTTTTCAGCGGTGCTAAGCACCCTCAAGTCCTGTTGACTTCAGTGGCTCTGGAGGTGAAGTGGCGGGGTCTCTTCTCTGTCATCCTTTGTGACCTGTGATATTTGAGTACAGTGGAGGGAAATAATTCCTAAACTCAAGAATCTGTAGAACTTTTTGGCCTTACTTTTTCTTTTATGTGCAAATGTGTCCCCAGGGCTGTGCTTATACTGGAATTTTCAGAAACATGTAAAGCATAACAGCAATTCCAAGAGTTGGTAGCAATGGTTGGAGCACTAGTGTGCATGCACCGTACGTACCAATATTAGTACCAGTGTATCAAACTCTGCCAAAAGCAGGTTTAGGTTACTAATGGCAAAAACTGCCATTTCCAATTACACTTGTTCTACCACCCTTGCTACCACCAATAGATTTGCACTGCTGCTAGGATCCTAATGGGAAATGCTGGGTCTGATTTTTCAAAGATAATGAGTACCGCAAGTCAAGTGAAGATATAGAAAAACTGTCTAGGTAGTATGCACATTAGGGAGGCACTAATTAGGGAGGCATTCAGTGCATACTGAACTGAGTTTTCCATTTCAGTCAGCTCTTAACCCTGCTTCATAATGTTTAAAGAATACACGTACGCTTCTCACACTTAACAGCACTTTCTTTTTCAGTAATACAGTACAAGCGTTTTCTGACAATATGTAAGTAAATCCATTAATTTGTTTATGAATTAAAATTAATATTTATATAACTGCTTTACTACATTTATCATTCTGTCACACCTTTCTTATAATAAAGAGCAAAAATGATTTGGCTACATTAAAGTGTGTCAAAAAAGGCTATAAGTTTTCCTAATGCAATGGGAAATCATTGAAAATACCTGGTTTAGGATTATTGGTATTAATGAAATTTTCCTTCAGAGATGCTCATAGACATGCCACTACTTCCTATTGTTCTCAGTAAGATTACCACCACAAGTTATTCATATAGCAGAGATAGATGCCACCTCCATTCACCAGCTCTGCACAGTTCTCTTTTCTGCTGTGTGACAGTACAGAGGCCATCAGTTTTTATAAAGGGACCGTGGCTTCACCTTTAGGGGGAACAATGGGAGACATTGGCCATCTTTACTAAGAGCAGCCTCTGGCTCTAGTCTCACTGAAATGATGAGAGTTCAAAGTCCCAGCTTCTGCTGAAGAAGAAACTTTTCATTTTGAGGAATCATGAGAAAAATATTCTTAATTCTAAATATTTATCTTCCCCTTCCCCAAATTTTTACTGGGTCTAATCAGTAGGGGAGTACAGAGGGATAATTTGGGCTGTGTGTGCAGAAGAGTGTGGTATACAACAGAGAAAGGGAAACTTGATTTCAGGGTGATAACTACATACCTTCAGCTCTGTAGACATATCTATCAATTTTTTCACATAAAATACTTTAAAATAATTTAAACACTAAATCTTCATTTAATTGTTGGCACAACTGAAAATACATATATTTTAAAGTAAACAAATGCCATGCTAATTAATTAGCCCCCAAAGTTAATATTCCCATTAGTTCATAAATTAATTCCCAACAAAACAAGCAATCATAAATCTAAGAAATTCAAAATTAAGATCATACTTAAAGTAAATGTAAACACTTAAAAGTATAGCAGTTCATACCAACATACTCAAGCTTAATTCTTGCATTGATATATTGAGAGAAGTATATATTTGTATCCAGTATATGTAATCAAATGAATATAACCTAATTTATCTTTAAAAGGTAATCTACTTTAATTTGGGATCACAAGCACTAAAATGCTAAATCAGAATTCCCTGATTATTGTCTAGCAACATTCCTACTATCATCTTGTAATGGAAAAGGAGCTTGCAAAGCTAAAAGTGCTAGTGTTTTAATAAACTATACAAAAGCTTTTTCAAAGATGAAAGGAAAAAAATTATCATTACTTTAAAATCTGCTAAAACTATATAAGAACTACATATTGTCACTGAAGTATATAGAAGAATACTGTTCTGAAACTTGAAAGCTTCATTTATTTGTAATAGAATTGCTGAGTAATCCTAATTATGATGATAACCAAATATGGACATCCTTTGAGAGATGTATCATAACAGTAGAATTCAAATCCACAATTTTGTTTTTGAGGGAGGAAGAAAGGAATAAGACATTTTCTTTCCTAAGACATCACAACCAATTATTTGAACAGAACCAGAAATACAATGTAGCTTTATCACCAAGAATTTATTTTGATCATACTAATCCTTAGAGAAAATAAAGTGGTTCATTTTACATATAACAACAAAGAAATCAAGAAAAAGAGTTGTTGAAATAAAACTGACTGTGAATATCTAAATAATTGCATATGGAATCATGTCTCATTTTGTCACAAAGATTGTTATGAATACCTTGATAAATCAAAGCTTTGATAAACATACGCACTACAATTCCAAATTCCTATAAAAATATCTGAGATAAGACATTTTGCCTGTTGTAATTTATTAGAACAGAATTTCACAGACACAGGTGGGCTATATGTGCAGTTTCTATTTTACATTAAGGAATGTAAATTTTAGAGTATCTACTTTCTCAGAGAGAATCTAATTCCACTGCAGCAAAATTTTAATTTGGCCAATTTATTAAAAATATTTTGAACAAAAGAGATAGTTGGATATACAAACAAACCAGGTACTGATTTTTCTTCGTATACAAATGCATTCTTTTGAATTGCAAGCTGCTAGGTAAGAGAAAGATGTACTATTTGTGTGTTTCTGAAAGCAGTGCAAACAGCAAATACTGGCGTATAAAACACAGAAGATGGTCCGAAGTATTAAAGTTTACAAGGATGGGGAGATGCACTCGCTTCATATACCCCACATAGAAGCAATACACAAATTATAACTTCCATTTTCAAAATTGACTAGCAATCTGGGTACTTCTATTTTGGGTGTCCAGCTTGAGACAGCTGAATAAGGCAATTGAGTTTAAGACAGCACTGAACGTCTGCCCTCTAAGAGTCAGGAAGCTTTAGAGATATCTAACAGCAGAAAACAGAAATGCTCAGGTTCACTAGACATGTTTGAAAATTTAGGGACAACATTTTTTTCTCTGTAGGAGTAAGGCCACAAGGGATTTTTCTGCTGAATAATAACTTTATACAGCAAAAACTAGGGTATGAGAGATCCCAAGATAAAGTAGGTTGGCAAAAGACTCTTACTGAAGCATATGCTTTCACTGTAAGCCAGATGACAGGATAGAAGAAAAATTTTTCGTAATATTTATCATTTTCATCCTTGGTTTCTAATATTTTATTTTACATCTATAGTTGAAGTTTCTCTCTCACATTTTTCTTTCTTCTTAAACAAGTAAAGCAATTGGTTTACAAGAGAACATGCTTGTTCTCAACATACATGCTCCCATGAATAATTAAAGCATAAGAGCAAATGGATCCCATGGCATGAACCAGCTTTTGGTTCTTCACTTGTACAGAATCTAGCTGGACCTCAGGTGCCTGGTCCATGCCTTGTTGTCCTACATGCTGCAATAATAATATCAATGATTACAATAATGAGGTTAGCCAAGTTCATATCACAATTGACTAACACTTGACTAACACTTAATCACAGATTCATTAATTTGTTGAGTACTCGCTTTTTCCCCAGAAAAACAGGCAAGAAGAATTAGATGCATATTTGAGATACGGGAAGCAAAGAAGCCAGTAGGCAGGGACTTTGATACTTAAATCCTTCTATGAGCAATTAGAGGTCTGAGGCTGTGTTGCCTACAATGATACCAAGACAGTTACACCAGTACACATCATGTGTAAGATCCTAACTGAATGAATTTCACCACTTGCATATACCTACGGTCATCGCTGACACATTATATATTAGGGTTGTGTGAGGCTCTGGTCCCTGATTTGATTCAGTGGAGATTTGGCTCAATTTGGAGGCTGAATCTCCAAATCTGAATTGAATCAGGAGACCCTTTAATCTCTCTGAGTCGAATTGGAACCTCCAAATCAATTTGGAGAGATTTGGAAAGACTCAACAATTTGGATGTAGACACAGCTTTAAATGTCTTTTCTCTAGGTAGCTGGCATCTCAAGAATGCTGTGATGCTGGGGCGGATGGAGTATCCGACAGAAGCATGGGGGGGCTCCCCAGCACACTCAGCAGCAGACCTGGAAGTGGACCAGAAGCACTGCTGGTCCACTTCCGAGTCTGCTGGTAAGCATGCAAGAGGACCCCCGCGATGTTCCCCTGGCTCAGTGACTAGTGCCTCCTGGATCTGGGGGGGGTACCTGGGGTCCCCCCATTGCCAATTGCCAAGCTGGGGGGTGGCATTGGGTGGGAGGGTCCTCCCACACACTCCCCGACAGACCCGGAAGTGGACCAGAAGTACTTCTGGTCCACTTCCAGGTTTGCCACCAAGTATGTGGTACCCCCCCTTCTGTGGGATGCTCCATCCCCCCTAGCATCGCAGTGTTCACGTGCCGTGCTGATACCTCAAGGTACGTGGAAAAAACATTTAAAGCTGTGTCTGTGTCCAAATCGCTGATTCTCTGAATCAATATTGAATCTTCAGTTTCGGATTCAGCCAAATCAAATCGGGAACAGCGATCTGAATCAACGAATTGAATCACCATCCCCGATTCTTGCTGAATCCAAATCAAATAGGGCCCATTTCACACACCCCTATTATACATGTAATTCTTAACACGTACACACAGGCTACTTAGTAATAGCAAACACATACCCCAATGTATAGATATTTCAATAAATACATGTTGGCAAGAAAATATATATTCACCTGTTTATTTGGAGACTGGCCTCTGTTTGCTTTGACTAATATTGCTATTATTGTTCTCCGTGCAGGTTAGGAGTCTGGAACAATGGGTGACTGGAGCTTTCTGGGGAGACTATTAGAGAATGCACAGGAGCACTCCACGGTCATTGGCAAAGTTTGGCTGACCGTACTGTTTATCTTCAGAATCCTGGTGCTGGGAGCTGCTGCTGAGGAGGTCTGGGGAGACGAGCAGTCGGACTTTACCTGCAACACTCAGCAACCTGGTTGCGAAAATGTCTGCTATGACAAAGCCTTCCCTATCTCCCATATCCGCTTCTGGGTGCTGCAGATCATCTTTGTGTCCACTCCAACTCTTATCTACTTGGGCCATGTGCTCCACATTGTGCGTATGGAGGAGAAGAAGAAACAGAAAGAGGAAGAGCTGAAAAGGAAGGGGAGCTGCAAAGACATCATCCAGTTGGGGACAGCAGCTGGAGGCAACAACAACTGTGTCAGCAAAAAGGAGCCACCTCCCAAGAAGAAAGAGAAGCTACCGATCCGTGATGAGCGTGGTAAGATCCGCATTGGGGGTGCCCTGCTCCGCACCTATGTCTTCAACATAATTTTCAAAACTCTTTTTGAAGTGGGCTTCATTGTGGGCCAGTATTTCCTGTATGGCTTTGAGCTGAAGCCTCTCTACCGCTGCAGCCGCTGGCCCTGCCCCAACATCGTGGACTGCTTCATTTCTCGGCCCACTGAGAAGACCATCTTCATCATCTTTATGCTGGTGGTGGCCTGTGTCTCACTGCTGCTCAACATGCTTGAGATCTACCACCTGGGATGGAAGAAGCTCAAGCAGGGCATGACCAACTACTACACCCCTGACACCATCACAGCTGTGGAACCAGTTATAATAGAAGGAGATGCCAAGCCTGCATCCATGCCTCCACCACCACCAGTAGTGATAACAGCTCATGCTGCACCGCCTGTTCTGCCTGACACCCGAGCTGTCACCCCTCTGCTCACTCCAGCTGCTGTGCCACCTTACTATGCTGAGTCCCCTGTTAAGACACGACCATCTGTCTCACCTTCTGTGGCCAGCTATCCTGTGGCTCCCCCAGTTGCTGAGGAGCAGCAGAAAACTGCCACCCCCACCCCAGCCTCCTCACCAATCCCAACGCCAACCCCCATCCCAACACCCACACTGGCTGTCATCAATTACTTGAATGCCAGCAGCCAAGCTTCAGCTGCTGAGCAGAACTGGGCCAACATGGTAGTTGAGGAGCAGAAGAAGCCACCGCCTTCCAGCTCAGCAGCTTCCTCTACCCCCAGCAGTGTCCGACAACAGCTTCCAGAGCCAGAGGAGCCAGCTGAGCAGCCACCACTACCACCACCTCCAGAGTTACCTGTGGCAGCAGCCAACAGTGTGGGCAGCAGCACCAGCCTGAGCGGGGGAAGTGGAAGCAAGTGGGATATAGAAGGGGAAGAGGAGCCTTTGGAGGAAAGGCCTGTTTCACCTGCCTCTCCTGCATCACCTGCCTCACCTGTCTTGCCTGCATCACCCATGTCACCTGCCTGTACCACAGTGGAGATGCCTGATCCAGCGCCGCTCATAGACACACGGCGCTTAAGCAGGGCTAGTAAGTCCAGCAGCAGCAGAGCCAGGTCAGATGACTTGGCTGTGTAGCATGGTTTCCAGTGCTGGAAGAAGCAGATGATAAAAGCAAAGTGTAATGGGGAACCACATGGTGTGGGAGGGAGACCAGACCCCAGGCCAGGGGATGAGGGAGGCTGGGGTTCCAAACTTTGAAGCTTGCTGTTCTTGCACTCTGTGAGTTGTAGTGGGGATAAATATTGACATTTTCTAGTAGGTCAGGGGTGGCTGAAGCACAGCCCGTGGGCCAAGGGACCAAACCCGCACTCACTGATGTCAGTGACAGAACTCTCAGTGCCATCCAGATGGGAGGCCTGCACAGATGACAGGTGTCAGTGGCAGCTGGGCATGTACCCTCATGTTGATGCTCTCCCAAGAGAAACATTAGCACATTTTGTGCTCCTGTGCCTGTCATCTTTCATCTTACCCTTGCCTTCACTTCCACTTTCCCCTGTGTGAACTCTGAGGTCCTGCTTTCTTTCCTTTCTCTTAAACCACACTTCCCTGACTATGAGAATGACACATGGCCTGGCGGCACCTGTCATCTCTGTGGACCAACCTGACAGAGCAGGGTGATTGCAGTCTCTTCCATTTAATATGAATTAGGGCAGACTTTATGTTCATGGCAAATTGCCAATGCAGCCCTTTGGTTAGACAAAGTTTGGATAACCCCATAATAGATTTTATTATTCCTGAGCTTCATCTTTCTGTTTTTTCCCCCAACTCTTGACCTGTAAGGAAGTGTCTAGTTTAACTTTTTATCTAGTATTTGCCAATGACGACCACACAATGTTTTTAAGCACATGGATTCTTTTGAATATCTTTAGTTATATTTTTCATTTGACATCTGAAATTGCTTAAAGGAGGAGAGAAAGTAAACCACACACCTCAGAAAGTATAACACACAACAATTTTACTTCAGAAAATAAGAATTATGGTTTCATCACATTTTGGCCCTGTATGTTGTAGCCTAACAATAGGCTAGTATAGAATTCACTGTTTTAGACTGACACATAGTTAGCTTAAGCCAGCTGGAAGGAATGCTTAGTAGAAGTAAAATTTGAGTGCACATCTTAGAGTATCTGAACATTTCTAGAATAATTTTAATCTGTTTGTTAAAAATTACTTGACAGTGTATTTATACATTTTAGTTTGATCCTTGATCTCATAGGAGAAAGTAATGGGAAACAATTTTAGTCACATTAAACATATGTAGCAACATTCTTTCCTGCTATGTGCTGGTAAGTGGCCCTTTCCTACAGTAAATTGTAACAGTCTTACAAGTCGGTACTCACAAACATAGAATACAGCCTGTTATGGGAAAAATGACTAAAGTAACATGGTGATCTTCTATGGTTTAGGGTCCTATTCTGATCCCACTAAAGGAAATTGCAGCATGGGCACGTCTACATGAGACGCTAAAAGCTCAGTAAACTAATTCTACTATGCATTAGCACATCACGGTGAAAGCTGTGCTAATGTGCAGTAAAATTAGTCTACTGAGAATTAGCATCAACTAAAGGATGTGCACCAGCACTACTGCACAGTAGTGCCAATTAGGCACCTTAAGTTAGTACCTGTTATTACAGGTACTAAACTTAATGTGCCATAATTATGGCCCATTAATGCATGTGTAGACATGACCCATATGCATAAAATTCAATAGGAGCAGGATTAAGTCTCTGATTTTGCAGGCATTATTGAAAAAAAGTTGCCGCTGAAGTTAAGTGGAGTTTGGGCACAACAGTGACTGGGGGGTGGGGGAGGGTTGGGGGTGCTACATACATACATACATACAAGTCAGCTTTTTAAAGAGTTGTCCATTTTCCTTAAGAAGCTGGTGGTTGGATATTATCTAAGGAGACAGTTTCCTTTAAAAGAGCATAAATTCTTCATTTCCTTATACCAAATGCTCTTCTGGAAGCTAATCAACATTTTGAATGCCTGGTCAAGCTGAGGAAAAGTTTGGGCGCAGCTGAGCAGGCAAAGATCCAACTTTTGTTCTGGTAGTTCCAATGCAAATTTAAATTAGCTGAAGTTGAGCTGTATTGTAACTGCTGCCATAGTGCTGGGCTGCTATAATTAGAGCAGTGCAGTAAGCACACTTAAATAACCCTGCACATTTTCAGTGGCTTGGTCTGCTCCTGTGGTCCTCTCTCAGGCAAAGCTGGGATCAGGTCCCTCTTGCTGAAGGTTACAAGTGCAAACTGCCTCTCCCCACATGCATATGTTTCCCATAACAGGTTTATTTTACTAAACAATTAGCAAGAGTATTTTCCATCAACACATACTAAATTTTTATATTTGTTCTGTCTCCTAAAGAGACTTAAATAGTTCTTTCAATATTGGGGCTCGTGCTCTGCAGCCCCTATTTATGCCGTTTGTCTCGCTGACATCAGTTGACCTACTGCATGAACAAGGATCATGTGATGGGGGTTTGTACTGCTAATGGTCTGGGGATAGAGACTGCATATATATTGCATTTGCTGATATGCTGATGAACAAATAGCATATGAACAGTAGCTATGATTTAAGTGTCAAGTTTCAAGCATCCTCTCATGAACTCTCTGTGTTTTAAGCCATAATAAATCTTTCTACAAGCAAATAGCTAAATTCTGGTCCTTTTTACATCCATCCCACACCACTGAAGCTAGCATGTAGTCAGCATCGGTGCCTGGATGTAAACAGGGACAGCATTTAGCCCTGAACATTTTTTAGCTGTATTAACATTTTAGCAGTTGTGATAATTGTCAGGTCATTCTATTGCTACAGTCACACAAAGTGCATCTCTGGGGTTTAATGACATGTTTTAGATGACAGCATCAACATTCAAGAGGCCAAATTCTATACTGTCTTGCACCACTGTAAAGTGAAATCAGTGCAGTATCTCCAGCAGTGTTCTGGTGTAACTAAGGCCTCAGTTTAAAGAACTGCTTTGAATATATGCACTGTTATTTCTAGGCTTGAGTGCAGAATTTGGCCTATTGTTACATAGGGTCCCAAATCCTGTAGTCCCTGCTCAAGCAAAACTCCTATTGAGTAGGTCCTGCACGATTGCATCCATATTATATATAAAAACCAAAAGAGCAGAGATACTTAGAGCTTGCTTGAGGTCAGCTTTAGTCTGCCACTTGCAGAAATATGTCTGTGGTTCATCCTGCATAGAGTTCAAATACTTTTGTGGCATGTGGTATTTTCAGGTATCATATGGACTGGGAAACTGCAAAAGATCCATTAGTTATATAGGGATGGGGGGCAAAATGCAATTATAACTGTGTCTGCAGGAGCAACCTGATCTAACAGCCTTCAGACCAAATCAACAGTGGTTTGAGAAAATGGTAGATAAAACAAAGCAAGGCTACAACTCACAGGTTGTGTCTTTAACACCGGCTTAAGTTCTACCGTAACAAATGGAAAATGTCTTGGTTATGGACAATTTAATTTTGAATGTGATACTGTTTCTTAATTTCACTTATAGTAACTAATTCTGCAGAGGAAAAGCTCCCATTGATTTCAGGAGAAGCATTGACCCTTGGAGGGCTGCAGGATTAGACCTGTGATTGAATCACTTTGAACAGTCTCACTAGTGGAACAAATCCTGAGAGCTTTACTCATTTTTTTACTTGTGTAAATACTATTTAAAGCAATGGTTGTCTTCTGAGTAAAGAATAAGTAACAACTTCAGGATCTGCCCTGCCATGTACCATGTTAACATATGTTTATTTTGATCCAAAGTTAAAGAAAAGATTTAGATGAGATCCCATATAATGCTATTGGTCCTAGTTCTCACTTTTTAATGAGGCAAAACTCCCATTGAAGGTACAGAATTCTCCCTGATTGAGGAGTACAAATGTAAGTTATTGAGACTAAAATATTGATGTTTTTAATCAGAACATGGGCAGAAGGCACACATTTAAATGTTCAAAAACATCTTTCTGAAGTGCCTGTTTTAAATAAAAATTAAATTCAGACTCAGCTCACACCTCAAGGCAGGTTAGAAAAACAATTTAAACACCAGGAAGTAACAAATTTTGTGTGGTAGGACAGTGTTTGTAGGTGGAAACATTCATTAGATTTCAGGTCAATTTGTCTGTCATACTTTGTTTAAAAAATAAAATGGTAGCAGATGTTACTTTAGATGGGCCTGATCTTTACACAGGTCCCAATCTTGGAAAGTCTTACATATGTCCCTAACTGTAAGCAAGTGGGTAAGTCACAGCAGGATTGGAATGTCAGTAAAAAACAGCTGAATCATGCCTTTTAATATAAAGACAAAGCAAGTAATCATATTCACTGTCTGGATGGATGGATGGCGTGAAAAATTGTTATGCACTGTGTTAAAAGTTTAATAGAGAAAAACATATGCTAAAATATGTAAAAGAAAAGAAGCAGAAAAAATGTACCTTGAACAGTTACCAGGTATATGGCATGCTATTTTTTTGCAATAATTCAAAGTGATCTATTGGCCATCATTTTCAAGAACCACTAATTTAATTCTTTATATTTTGGAGTATTTTTGATAAATTTCAATGAAAGATAACAAATATGAACAAAATGTTATTATTAAACACATATGTGGCCAACATTATTTTTATATCCGTTTCTGTGTTTGGGCCTATTTATCTTTGCTGATAACCAGTATCAAAAAATTAAGCACAGGTGATTTATTGCTGCACAATTTTTCCCTTTATGTTTGGATTCAGTGAAGACAGTCTGATAGAATCTCTTGGTAACTTGGCTTTTGTTAATGATTGAACATATACTGTGCAAATATCTAGCTCTTGATTTTTCATGAAGAAGAAAAAAGATGCTCTTTACATCATTGATCTCTCTCAGCACTGACTTCTGGTTTCTTGCAAATATGTAGCATGCACTGAAAAAACACAATGGGCCAAAGTCTTCTCTGATGCATTTCTGAAGCCAGTTAATAGATATAGGAAAACCCTTGTACCATTACACAAGGGGTTATTTTGCCACAATATATTTAACATCCATAAAGGCACTTATCACTAATTAAGTGCACTGTTATACAGTAATTCTTCTGGTATGAACAGCAAAGCGTAGGACCAGTAAAATAATTAGAACCATCTTAAAAAACAACAACAACAACCCAACCTGTAGGTCCTTTTCCAGTCAAACTGGAAGCCAGAGTCTCATCTGGTGTGAATTCTCATTGCTCCATGGTTTCAGTTTGCATAAGGTGAGGCTCTAGGCCCTTGTTTTTTATTTATTAAATCCCTTAGTACAGTCCACTGAACAAGCTGTTTTTTCCTAAAATGAATTTCCCCCCCCTCTTTTTTTCCCCTTGTGAATTGTGTGCTCTACTTGTAATTTTGTTTCCTGAAGTTTACATTCAATTTTTTATTTCGGACTGTACATTTGGACTGAATACACTATTTTGGAAGTTTACATTGGTGTAACGTATTAAAAGAATGACCCAGCCAATGCTTTAATCCTAAAAAAAAGTCTTAATCAAACAGACAGGCAAGGTTCTTTGGGTAGATCTGATATGTTTTATTAGACCAGCCCAAATAGTTGGAAACATTCTTCTTTGCAAGTTTTCAGGTAGAATTTGTACCCAAAAGCTTGCAAAGAAGAATGTTTCCAACTATTTGAGTTGGTCTAATCCAGGGGTTCTTAACCTGGGGTCCACGGACCCGCAAGGGGTCTGTGGATAGATTTCAGGGGGTCCGTGAACTTGGATGGGAAAAAAATTACATCTTTATTTTCACTAACCTCTAACTGAAATTTAGCATTTCCTTCAATTATGAACGTAGGCAACACACCACAGTAGTATTAGCAGTACCTGTGACTTTGTCACCAATAGAAATCACAGATATTTTCATATCACATTACAGTTGTTGCAGATCTCTCAAAATATTGTTTACGGTCATCACTACTTCAAAATTACAGTAGTTATTAGACCTGCCGCTAGATCGCACGTGATCGCAGTCTTCCTGTCTACAGACGCTCATTATTCTGAGAAGAGGTCCATAGGCTTCACCAGACTGCCAAAGGGAGTCCGTGACACAAAAAAGGTTAAGAACCCCTGGTCTAATCAAAGATATTGGATTTACCCAAAGAACCTTATCTGCCTGTATCCTTAGACCAACATGGCTACAACCTACACCCCTTAATCAAACACAGGAACTCTTTGGATATAAGGCAGTACAATTAAAGAAAATTAATTTCAGATTGGGGATTCTATACTACACATTTCCTCCACAGATTTAAAATACAGGGTCTTGATATATGGTACACAAGGAGCACACTGTTATGGAAATAAAATCATCCATTGTGAACTAAGTTATCACCAAATACATTAAGGTTTCAACATTACATATTTATTTACGTGTGTTTGGATTTTGATGACAGTAATTAGCAGTGACATCTATTCTTTAAGTGCTAAATTGGCAGTATTGTTTAAAGTCACAGACAAACTACTTGTTGAGAAATACTGTGTTGGTACACTAT